ATGTTCTTTTCACTGCCATGTATAACCAAACTCAGCTATTCAGTACAGGAACAACATGATTGCAACTATAGGTGCACTAAAGCCCTCCCTAGAGATCAGGTCTAGACTACACCAGCACTTCAGCCACCGGGGCTGGCGCAGTCCCTGGATTTTACTCAGGTAAACGCGTGGCACCTTGGTTGCAGATGGGTCTTCACCTCTCTTGTTGGGAATGCAGGCGTGTGCCTTAAGCATTCTTAGAAGGGAACCTCGCAACTCAGAAGCTCTCAATCTGGACTAAATGCAGAGGTATTTACCTTGTTAGGTTCTGGGAGATCCAGCTGGCTGGCACATACCTTAGCCTTTGCCTTTGATTGCTGTAACAAGGAAATCTGAGTATCTAGGCAGCCTTACACCAAAGCACTGCTTGTCCTTAATCTAGGAGGCAAGGTATATTTCAACAAATTTTCTATCTATAATAAGAGGCCTAAATGCTCAGCTTTGAGGTAATTTACCTTACCTCAAAAACACCTGGGACAATCACTCTATTCCCACCTACACTTTCCAGCAACTATCTAGCCTTTTCCCAGAGAGATTTCTACAGTCAATAGTCCTGTATGCATGCTGGTTCTCAAAAAAAGTAGTTTAACCTGGCTAGAGCCCAGAGATTGGTTCTTCATGCCTACTAGCTCTACCTATGAACAATGTGTTCTTACTGTCTCCTCCCACACCTTCAAGTACTTTATCTCAAAATATTATGTGTATTTGATTTTCTTTTTATAACAGTCTGTCAATAAAATAAATCAATAGAACTATATAGCAAAGATCTTAACAATAGATGTTAATTTGAGGAATTAATAAAACATCTGGGAACAGACTTCCACATCTGGTAACTGAGATTACATGATCCAAAGTTGTTGCAGTGAAGGCTGATATACAAATTAAATGACAGAAAAATCCCTACTCACACTGTGACTTTAAGATAATTATATGGTGCCTTGAAACAGAGATGCTCAAATCCTGTAACTGAAACTGTCCTTGGTACAAAAATGTCTGGAAACAACAAATGTAATACAGCACCATTTTATAACACATCTTTTTGACAATGTGCACTTCAGTCAGTCTCATAGATAGAAATTTATGGAGTCAAATTAGAGTAGTTGAGCACAAGGAGAAAAACTTGAGGAAGTTCAGAGAGTAGAATAATTTCTCAGATAAGATTCCACACAGACAAAGAATGGGTGGGGGACCACCATGTCAAGAGACAAAAGATGACTTTTCTAGTCAGTGAGAACAGCCAATGAGGAAGACTTAGCATCAAAAACTGTAGAATCATGTCTAGGAATAGAAGAAAACATGAAAAGACAGTTGAGGAAAGAAGTAGAGAGAAAGTTTTGTTCAATAGACAGGAAAAGGTGCAAAGCATATTTTATAATAAGATCACGAAGATAAGGTTGACTTAAGGATCTGTTTTCAAAACTGTTGAGTCTTGACTTAAATTGGTGGAAATCTAGGGGAGCTCCTTTCAAAGATCATCAAAGGTGGAGCTTATGAGGTTAAGGTCAACCATGCACATAGTGCATAGTCATAACTTCAGCTCAGATTTTTAAAAAATCTCTTTTCATCAAGCACTCACCTGAAGATATTTTCAGAAGAAAGCAGCAGTATTGGTATATATTTAACTAAGTCAAATGATAATGCTGAATTGTTTAACCTTGGTACATTCAAATAACTTCAAGATAAGAGCCCAGTGACAATTGCCATCACTTATTGTTTCCCAAGTAATTAAAAGTTAACAACTGGAAAGTCAGTGAGTTGAAAAGAATGATTTAAAGAGGGACTTGTAGATACAGCTGCATTATCTCATGTCATTCAGAATCTTGTTTCCAACCATCTCACTGTTTATATGATAGCATTTGTAAACAGATGGACTTCTTCACATTTTTTTTTTTTTTATTAAAACATCTTTCTTCCCAGGCATATTGATCTCTTGGGGAAAATTCTGGGATGCAAATAGGTTTTAGCATTGCTCAGTGAACATGCCACACAGCTGGCACTGACTGTGACACAGGGTTCTGCAACAATGCAAACAAGAAGTTTTGTCTTGAGAACCCACCTAGCAAAGACAGCATTTTCCAGTGCACTTCAGTTTTAGGAGCGAATTTTAAGAGCATGCTACAGAGATTTGATTTTCAGAGACCAGGCAAGCTGTTGTGGCTACAGACTAACTGAATGGTGCCTCAGGAAAATGTCTTTTTAACCCCCTGAGGTTGGGATCAGTGCTGGTGACCAAACAACATCACAGAACCCAGCAGAAAACCACTCTTCTTCACTGACCTAAGTTCTAAGTGTCATCTTGCCTGTCAGGTGAGGGAAACCCTGATGTTGTTTAGCTTTTGGACACGGAGCTCCTATGAGCCGGGATACAGTAGTTGCTTTCACTACACTAATGCACACATTAATATAGTTGAGATTGTTGAAGTGCCAAGCAGGCAGTAAATCACAACCATCCATCGAACAGGCATTTTTGTATGCACTGAACTTTTGAATGCTTGGGCTTGAATGCCTCCTATATAAGGTTTAAAACATCACTGGTGAGCACCTGTGCTGTTCTGTCAGCTGGGACTGACCAGCTCTTGAACTAACATCCTGGATGCAGTTTGAGTCTTGGACAGAAAACTGGGCCTCGTATGACAGCTTCTTGTGACTACAGGGATTTTTGTGAATGTGTCAAGCTGCAGAAGACAGAAAATCATGTTCAGTTCAGGATCTCTGAGGCGCCATAGTGACCTGATTTCTCTGATAATGCTTTCAGAGGCTGACCAGATGGCATTGTGAACAGAAGGTGCTTATCCTACAGCAAATCTCCGGCCTTAGCCACTCCCTTGTGGAGCATTGGCCTGAAAATGTGGAATTAAATCCCCCACACCTGAAGATATTCACAGTCAGTGCATCTGAAACACACAAACAAATGTTGGCACAACAGTTGAATGACAACTTGGACAAATCCACATCCAGCCACTGAACTTTCCTATCAGAGACTCCCACCACTGAGACATTGAAAACAGAAGCAATTTTGGGGTATACCTTCTGTGTTGCTCTAAGATCAAAAGACGAAGCTTGATGAGACAGTTGTGTGTTCAAAAATTATGTAGGTCATCCAATGGCTGCCATAAGTCTTATAATACCGAAGGGCTACTGGAACCATAGACATACATGGGTTAGAATCAACACCCTTGCTCACATCATTTAATGTAGTGAGGATGTTGCTCTCTGCTCCCCACCAGCAATTAAAAAACTTAACGAGTGCTGCAGAGAAATTAGCTTTGATGAAGACAGCTGCTCACATCTAGTAAGAACTGGTTGATCTGTGGGAAAAAAAAAAAAAAAAGACTGATGTGTAAGGGATTTTTCCCCTTACCTTCAACATACAGGAGGAGAAAATCATTACTAAGCTTTGGACAGATTCTTCTCAGAACAGACTTCAGTAAAAAGCCTATATTAACTAGATCTGCATTTCTCATCTGACAATACTTTGCTAAAGCTATTAATGAGGAGATAGTTAGCAACAACACTGGAAAAATAGAATCAGGCAACAGATCTCCAGACTTAATCCAATGAACACTGAAGTCACTAGGAATCTTCCACTCAATTTTGGCAAGAGTTACCTTATAAGAATATATAAATCTACAACGGAAAGTATTTGTCTCTCTGCTTTTATGTTTCACTTGAGTTTATTATTTGAGATGATATGGTCCATGCAGAATTTTAGTTTTCCTTGGGAGATACATTCACGAGAAATTGCCTTGGAGAGGGCAACCGAGCACCACACAGCCACTCACCCCCCCTTCCCCCCCGAGCTATGAGAAGGGGAAAATAAACCCTGGCTTAGGATTTGAGATAGTACAGGGAGGGGCAAATCACCCATTATGGTCACGGGCAAAAGGCAGACTCGTTAGGGGAAATAAAAAAGAACATACATTTATTACAGACAGTAACAACAACACATAACAGAGTAGGACAGTGAGAAGCATTGCCACATCTTGAGAACACCTTCCCCCCACCCCTCCCTTCTTCCCGGGCTCAGCTCTGCTCCCGATATCTCTAACTCCTCCCCCAGTGGTGCAGGGGCAGGGAATGGGGGGTGCAGTCAGCGCTGCTGCTTCTGCCACCTTCAGTGGGGGAAGCTTCTGGAACTTCTCCCCCTGCTCCATCATGGTCCCCCTCTCACAGAAGAGTCCTCCACAAGCTTTCTCCAATGTGAGTCCCTCCCATGGACTGCAGCATTTTCTTACACTGCCCCAGCATGGGACACCAACTTTCTCCAACTGGATTCCCTCCCATGGCTGCAGCCCTTCCCGAGCTGCTCCGGCGTGGGACTCCCCCGCATGCTGCAATCCTCCCAGCACTGAACTACAACAGCAGGGGCTGCTTTTTCCCACAAGACCCCGGCCTTCTTCAGGCACAGACACCTTGCATCCAGGCGAAAAACATGGGCCATAAATCAGTGTCTGCTCCACTGCAGACCTTCACGGGTGGCAGGGGGGGCTGCCCTGCCATCTCACCACAGGATACAGGGGGGGTCTCTGCTCCAGCACACCTCCCCCCTCCTTTCTTCCTCCGTTCCTCCACTGACCTTGGTGTTCACGCAGCTGCCGCAACTCCTCCTCACGAGTCTGACTCCTCTTCACCACGTCCCTTCTTAAATATGTTACCACAGAAGCGCAGCTGATCGGCTCAGCCTTGGTGCAGAGGTGGGGCTCAGTTGGAGCCAGGGGAGCTTCGAGAAGCTTCTCACAGGGGGCCACTGCTGTATCCCCCTCCCCTGCTACCAAAAAAAAAAATCCCACTACTCACTCAAACCCAGGACAGTAGTCCATATTTTGGATAACTGTAACTTGTCCAGAGCTGAAATCCTGAATTCTTCAACTATACCCAAGCCCTTGCCCCAGTTGTGGGCCACACAGTCTAGAGGGTTGAAAAGCCAGCAGCAAAAACACCCATTACACCTTTTGGGATCATTTTTTGTGCGAAGAATACATAATTTTATTTCTTCTACTACCCACTTTGAAAGAAGAGATCCCCAAACGTGCCACTGCCCCAACACTCCCCATCAGCATTGATAATTTCTCCTGTGCTCCTGACAATTCACAGTCATAGTGCCAAATAAGACAGACTGATTTGGTGTTAGCTGGTGGTATTAAGCTCTAAACAAAGTGAGGGGCCACCTGGCTCACTTAGTTGACAAGGCCAGACCAGGATCCAACATCTGTTCTGGTAGCCATAGATACACTTCAGAAACATTTTTATTGGAATTTGAAGGCTGTGCAATTTTCACACAAAAACACAAGATCCAAACAAATGCTTCTGTCAGCTTGGACAAGCTAAATTTACTACTTTATATAAACATAAAGATTGAGTACTTTGAAAAGCCACTGAGCAAATGTGTTCCTCCTCAGGTAATGCCAAAGAAATGTACATAGAAATGAAAGGAAAACAAAAGGCAGAACAGATGTCTGTAAGTTAAGACATAATCAGATGGTAGCTCTATTCTACCACACGGGGAAAATGGCCTGGTACATGAAAGTCAAACTCCATTGAGGAATCACCTTCAGAAACTGACACATGACATCCTGATACCTCTAGATGAGGTAAAAGAGCATGTTTGGGCAGCAGTCACAATCCCTGCTGAAATAATTTGAGGATTCCTGCTTTAGTTTGTTCAGTCAAGACCAGGACCTCACACAAGTAACATTTTTTAACTTGAATATCCCTCAACCTTAGGTTGAGGCCAGTTTGGGAAACTAAGTGAGTAAAACCACTCCAGTGCATTGGATGATGTCCCTCCACCCATGCAGAGACCCAAAGTATTTATCCAATTGTGCTAACGGTCTTTGGGGCTTAACTTTTTGCTATCTGAAAGAATGCTTTGCCTGAAGGAGGATTGGAGATTGTGGACCACATTGGTTGGAGGCTGTGGGACAAAGAAGAATCATACAGCATTTTTCAGATGTAAAAGAAATGGGATTAAGCTCACATTAGAGAACAGAATCTTCATACCTGTTATAACGCTTTATACAGAGCTGTAAACATACAAGGCCATATTTTATAGAGTAAAATCATGCTGCAAACACATTTAATACCAAAAATGTGTTTTACAATTACATGTCATTGACATTCTATGGATTCCTTCTGTGAGTTACACAGACAAAATAAAAATGTTTGCCCAGTGATCAGCAGAAGAACAATCAAACACAGCTCCTTCACCAACCTCCTGACTCAGATCTTGTGAGAAGGACTGGCAGCTCCTTTATCCTTGATATAAAAATGCTATGCGTGGTCAGCTCTTCAAAAATAGGAAGCTGAGTGTCAGATCTATCTAATTGCAAAACCAAGAAGAAAATAAAGTCATAACAAGCACATAGAAGACACAGAAATTGTTTCAGTTGCTCAGTACAATAGAAACATTGCCAATAAGAGAGCACGACCACATGCAAGTGCCCATAAACTTGACCCCTGAGAACTGCATTTGCTTGTGTGAGTTACAACATGCCTCTGACTGACTCCATTCAACTTCCTCAAATTCTGAAGGGCAGTGAGACCATTTCTATTGCACAGAAAATTATGTTAAGAGAAACACCAGTACTATGAGTACTGAGGAAACAATTACTATTTGCAATCTGCAATTTGCCCAACAGCAGAAAAGCTTTTTGGTCCTCCTCATATTCACTAGACGGAAAACCAAATTTATGAACATCCAAGTAATTCTGGTTTAAGGGCTCACCCAAGGAAGAAAAATAGCAGCATATGCAGGGGATGGGTAGGGAAGGACAGATGATACATCAGTGAAGAACCCAATCACTGCTAATGATGTCAGCAGAAGGTGCTTCATTTTCTCTGTTATCCAGCCCTTTGGTATTATTCTTAGCCTTTATTTCAAGCTCTGGGAAGTTTTACTTATTAAGGTGGTCACACAACTCAGGTGTCTTAAAAGAATGGCTGCCTGTTGGCTTCAGGAGGAAAAGATTTAATCTGATTAGCTTTAACACCTTTTCGGTATGCTGTTTAATAACCACCTGATGACATTTTTCTAGGAAGTTAAAGAACAGGCCCCTTCACTTCTAAAGCCAGATTTAAACCCCTAGAGGAGATATTGCAAAGCTTGCCACTGCACTTGAATCTGGTCCTTCACCACTACTTTAACAACCTGCTTATCTAGTTTCTCAGCCCTTTCTAAATGATGAGCTCTTTTCTCACTCACTAGAAATTCACTTCCAAGTGGATTTCAAGCACTAAGAAGAAAGGCTGCAGTTAAAATCATCGTGTGCTTAGCTACAAACAAAATTCTTTTGTCAATATAAAATGAATCATTCACAGAAAAGGTTAAATATGCATATATACTGATAACTAGAAACAATAACATCAGCCCTTTCCCGCCTTTGAGGCAATTCAAAAATGCAAACCAAAGCAATTCAGCCAGCTATCCTCTTTCTCTTATTTGAGGAGATAAATCCCTGTTTGGTGCAGAGGAATATGCAAGTGACAAAAAGTCCAGTGGCAGCCAGACAGCTTTTTCTGACTCTAGCTGTCAGGCTAATGTTAACAAGATGAAGATGCCTGAGTGAATGAATAAACAGTACTGAGTGAAGCTTTTCCCAAGCAGAAAATAAAGTAATATACAGTCATGTCCTATCTGTGAAAGGAGGGCCCTCAACCAAGTAAAGTGCTGGCAGGCAGATGCTTTTCACCCTGCTCTCAGTCTGCTCATTTTAACTGTGGAAGTGGTCCAGAAGCCATCATATGGGGTGGTGGAGAACAAGGCATGCAGTATTTCCTTATTTCCATCGGAGTAATTTTGAAATTTATACCTGTAAAACAAAGATGGAAAGAAGAGAAAATGGAGAGAGATGTTTAATGGGGAGTGTGAAGAATGGTACAAAACTTTAATATCTGAAGCTGAGCCATGTTTCTATGGGCAAGTTAAGGTTATTAGTGACCTGACACTAAAAAGGAATGTGATGGCAGGTTTGTTTTTCTCTTCATTAGATTGCTAGAGATCACTCATTCCCAGAAGCCTTTTTTCCCCTATACTGAGGGTGCATAAACATTAAAAGTATGATTGCTGCTGCTGGAGGTTTCCACAGTCAGATGAAGGTCTTCACGGACACAGGGGCAGTACTCTCTCCAGAACTAAAGTCCCACAATCAACACGTTACACAATATCTTCCCCTTACTATCATCGCATTCACCATCTTTCTTGGAAAGATGCCACGTTGGCTTGAAACATTTGCTTTCAAAGACAGTAATCATTTCTGATGGAAGTACAAAGTTCTAGAAAATCAGTGATTTTGCTTCAAAAGAAGTAGACAGCATGGTTAAATCCTTCACCTTCTTAAGCCACACTGAGTTTGCCTCCGAGTGGCTTTGCAGCTTCCCCATGGCAGATGCCTAGCACAAACAGCAGTGCAGAGTAACACTGAAAAAGTCAGAGTGCCTTGCCTGCAGACTGTACAAAGCAAGCAACATTTCCCTAAAAATAAAGCAACATGAAAACACAAATCTCAGAAATCTAATCACAATAATACAAACCCAAGCCAACATTGTACAATTCCAGACCAGAACTGCATCTGAAACAATACACTGTGCTTAGCTTTGGTCAGTTGCTGCATTAGGCCTAAGCTTTTACATCTGCAGTAAGAGTTGAAACGGATGCAGATCAAGCGTTTTCATGTAAGCAGATCTGTAACAGCAACAAGCAGTCATGTGCAGCAGACAGGTGTACCCAGTACAAAAGCAAATAAACAGCAATGCCTGACCTAAAAAAGGTTTGGGTATGGCTGGGGACAGAAGATGGTTACAGTAAACAGGCTGGAGTGCTCTGAGAACTAGAGAAGAGTCTAAGAGAGGACAAACAACCATCATCAGCTGTTACTGAGGGCACCCTCGGCAAGTTCACTGAGGACATCAAGCTGTGAGCCGTCCAGAGGGACCTGGACAGGCTGGAAAAGTTGGGCCCCTGCAAACCTCATGGAGTTCAACAAGGCCAAATGCAAGGTCCTGCCCGTGGGTCAGGGCAATCCCAAGCACAGATACAGACTGGGCAAAGGGTGGGTTGAGAGCAGCCCTGCAGAGGAGGACTTGTGAGTAGTAGCAGATGGAAAACTGCCAGTGAGCCACCAATGTGCGCTCTCAGCCCAGAAAGCCACCCGTGCCCTGGGCTGCAGCCAGAGCAGGGGGGGCAGCAGGGCCAGGGAGGGGATTCTCCCCCTCTGCTCCGCTCTGGGGAGACCCCCCTGCAGTGCTGGGGCCAGCTCGGGGGCCCCCAACAGCAGAAGGACACGGAGCTGCTCGAGCGGGGCCAGAGGAGGCCACGAAGATGCTGGGGGGGCTGGAGCAGCTCCCCTGGGAGGCCGGGCTGAGAGAGTTGGGGGGGTTCAGCCTGGAGAAGAGAAGGCTCCGGGGAGACCTTCGAGCAGCCTCCCAGGGCTTAAAGGGGGGACAGGAAAGGTGGGGAGGGACTCTTTATCGGGGGTGTGGGGATAGGATGAGGGGTAACAGTTTAAACTGAAAGATGGTGCATTTAGATTAGATAGAAGGAGGAAATTCTTCCCAGGGAGGGTGGTGAGGCGCCGGCCCAGGGTGCCCAGAGCAGCTGTGGGTGCCCCCTCCCTGGAAGGGTTCAAGGCCGGGTTGGACGGGGCTGGGGGCACCCTGGGCTGGGGGAAGGGGGCCCTGCCTGTGGCTAGGGGGTTGGGACTAGATGTTTTTTAAGGTCCCTTCTGACCCAAACTGTTCTATGAGTATTGGTTCTGCAACAGAGTAAGGCATTGTGGGAGATCTTCAGGGTGAATTTACAGGTTTTAATTAAGTGCTTCCTTTGTATTTCTTTTTCCCTCTCAGCACAGTACTTTCCATTGCTCTGCGATACAAGTATCACTGTATTTTAACCCATGGGGAACAACAGCCTACTTTCAAAGGAACATTCTCTTTGGAAGCACTTTTTTATCAAAGAGATTTCATGCCTGTTGCATGAAAAAGCCTGAAAGCCCTGCTATTTTGTCAGATAGCAGAAACTACCTCAGATTGAAAAGTAATAGCTATGCTCATCGCATGCAATCTCAGTACTTTGAAAAGTCTATAGATTCAGCCAGGTAATACACATGACCAGTCTCAGGACAAGAGTGACAAGCACCACCTCTGTGTGTTCCACATCGCATTCTCTAATCCTTCTGCATGGGCTGGGAACCCACTACTGTTGATGTGGATTGTTTATATCTGAAGTCCTCAGTTGCTACTACACCTGCCAATTAAATAAGAAAGGATGCCCAAACAGATATAAACCCCTGACCCACAGGTATAAATCTGCAATGTATTCACCTTCCTTGATACCAATGGGACTCTGCATATAAAACAAAGCCCATGATTCAGCACAGGGCGATTGGAAAGGAAGGAAAGTTACCTGCTAAAAGGAAAATTGCAGAGAAACACAAGGATTTCCATCTAGGTTACTTAAATACAAAAAAAGAATAAAGCATTTAAGGTACTTTATCAGCTGGAATGAATTTGCTGGAAACTTCAAATTAGCAATTTTATGATGAAAAGATTAGAAGAGTGTTAAATAAGTAAATAGACTATTTTAGATCAGATTCTGTACCTTTAAAGTTTAATGAAAGTTATCAGCTAGCCATTTTAACAAATTTAGAAACTTTAAGACATAAAATGTTGTTATACTAAAGAGCATACCTAATCTTTTTATCCTAGACTTGTTCATGATTTAGCTTTTTTTTACTGGGATCTCACTGAAACCAGGGATATTATAGACATACAGAAAGAAGCTTAACTGAGTGTTTTCAGACTAGTGATGGTGCCAAATCACCATAGTAAGGATATGTGATAGTGGACAAGACTGTTGAAACTATCATATTTGTACAGTGAAAGCACTGATACGATGGCAGAAATTCTAGTAACTGATTTAAACACATTTTTTTTTTTTTTTCATGCAGGAAGTCTTCATTTTGCTATCAAAAGTAGCTCTAACTAGAACTGGAAAATTAGATTTAAGTCTTCCATTGTGCATCTGAACAAGAAGCTAAGTTAACTCTCAGCTGACTTACCACCTCCTTGTATTATCTTGTTCTAGAGTGAAGCAAATGAAGCTGGTTGCAGCCTTGTGCAGGAACACAGGGTGTTTTAAGTAAACAAAAAGGTACACATGCAGGGAATACTGAGCTTGTAGCTGGAAGTATTTGCATCTGACTACCAGTTCACAGCTAGGCACCAGCCAGTCAGAAAAAGAAGAAAGAAAAAACAGTGAAGATTGGTTTTCTGAAAGGACAATTGTACCATTTGAAACTCCCATCCAGAATACTGCTACTTTATAAAGCAAAAAATGCTTTGCCTTTACTTTGAAGGCTATGGCTTTCCTGTATTACCCCTTAGACTAAATGGTCTCAAAAGACTACAGAGTAGCCCTTCGCTTCCACTTGCTCTAGGCAAGGAACACATTTGTCTAGAAAAGGCTTCAAAGTACTTCAATGGAAGTACACTTTTACTTGTGCAGTCTGTAGACACACATATTTAGGACAAATTCCATCTCAGGTAATTCTTGTTCCTGGTAGGGCTGCATGTTCAAAAATGGAATTTTTTTGAATTTAAAGAATTACACTTTGGTTGATTTCTCAAAACATGGAGACGGGTGCAGCCACAGATAGGTGGTGACGGAATATAACAAGACAAAGCTACCATAAAACTTCACTTTTGCAGCCTCCGTTCTTATCAGTGAGGAACTATGCTATGATACTATTATTCCTGCCCTCAAAACAAAGAGTAGAACCTTCTACAAAGCAGGAACTGATATAAACGCTTTATGGTTTGATTAGACTAGATCAGATTTCTCTTGATTGCTTTACACTGTGAGCATTAAATGGATTCTCTTCTACACTTATGTCTTTCCTATCCAGACACTCCATAAGGTGAGTGAAAAAAAAGAGCAATTTGTCAGCAGTACAATGACAATAATACCTGCATGGAAAATTTTGTGAAGTTTGCATATGGAAAAGCCTTGAAGTGCTGTGATTTATTTATAATGATTACCTAATTAAGGTAAGGAAACTGTAAATCTTACTACCTTTATGCGCTTTCTTGTTGTGTTTGGGCAGTTTTGAGCAGCAGACTTTTTTAGCCTTCTGACCTAAGGATAAAAAATAATACATTACCACTGGAGACAGATAATGCAAATAGCAAATACACCAGATGGGTTAGAGTCCACAAACACTTTGATTACTGTATTTACCGTTGAAATCCTTGCACAGAGGTATCTGTGAAACAAAGGGTCATCATGACTGATTTTTAAATCTGTGCATAGCTTTGTTCCTAGCATAGAACAATAATTAATTTGTTCTTTTCCATTGTTACTAGTAGATATGCCAGATACATTGTGAAGATTTTTACCATTTGTCACATGCTGGCAGGTAATACAAGCAGCAAATTCCAGCTGTCTTAAACTAAGAAAGAGACTGCACTGGTTTTTATAATTACATCACTTAACAAAAATATAAAATATTACCAAGAAGAAAAAAGAGTAGCTATGTGTCTGCATGTGCAGAAGTGTAGAATAAATTGCTTTGGATGGGCAAAGCCATTTAATTATTCCCTCCCCGACAGACCTAAATAAGTAAGCTGTTGATTGCACTTGACACAGTATGTGCCGGTCATATTAAAGGGAGAAGAAACGTTGACACTGGAGCAGAAAGGACCGAGGTAGGTGATTTCTCATCAACAAAATCCACACACAGGCTTGATCTTTCTGGAAATCCCTGTGGCACAGCTCTACAGCCAAGGCTAGCGATGGTGGCTGCTCTAGCATCCAAGAGGTTTGAGGTGTCTTGTCAGCATCATTTCATTCTGATGTAACAGATTTTATATAAAAAGTACATTCATCTTGAACACCCAGGCACTTCTACTTTCCCATCAGCATGTTTAAGGATAAAAGCCAGCATCTTTTGCATGCCTCCTCCCCACCTTCTGACCCAGTGAAGCACCCTAGGATGCACATTAACAAAATGGAACATTACTATAGGATTCCACATGTATTCATTTAGGATTTATTTGGTGTTACTGTCTCCTGTCCTTCCTAGACAGGCTTCTGCTATGCTCCTGAAGACAGATCTAGATATTCTCCAACAATCTTTGCACTGTTCCTTAAGTTTCCCTCAAGGAGCCTGGGAAGCCTGAATAAATATAAGCAGAAAATGCAAAGGGAGATGAAGAACTTCAGGTACATATATTATGACATTGCTGTAGCGTTCACTCCCGCTCACCACAGCTCTGGCAAACAGCTCCACCACTCAGAACAGACTCTGGTAAATGAAAAGACCAGGCAGCTGACTTGATCAGTTTAAAAGACAGCTTCCACATGCTTCTCCACACTCATATTTACAAATAAAGTGATTCTTACGAGGTTTCTAGAAAATATAGTGTGGCAAATCTGTTGTTCCTGGCCTTCGGACATTTATTTTTTTCCTTATCTCATACTCATTCCCTACATCTTGTGTAAAATAAACATCATGGAACAATCATGGTGGCTCTCCAAGATTTACAATATCAAACATCAAGTCTGAACAGGTAACCCTAAAAGTTACACGTTTCAACTTTAAAACCCTACTAAACTGTCTCCCTGCAAACCCAGAATAACTTCTCCATAGATGTGGCTATAGATAGATTGGAAAAAACCCTCTGTTTTTAATATTTAAACTGTTCTGTGAATTTGTGCGCTTTGGAATAGCAAAATAGTAATTGGGTGACACAGTAATTAAAGTGTGTAATGTCAGTGGTAAAAAAAAAAAAAAAAAAAGACTAATTGAATGTCAGAAGAGCTACTTTCACCTGTTTCACTTTTCTATAAAGAACTCCTCATTTACACCATTTGTGGTGACCTGACTCTTTCATATTCCCTTGTTCCATAAGGGTAGAAACTTTTTCCATTAACGTGTTTCTCACTATTCAGAAAACATAATTTTATACTGGCAGATTCTTATCTACTGGAAAAATATAACAGGAATTTTTTTCAGAGGAGTGGGTTTCAGAACAGAGATTAAAGTAAAAATCAATCATGCTGTACTACATGCAACAGGCAGTAACAGAGAGGAAACACTACTGTACAAACTAAAGCATTGATATGCAAGCACATTGTGCAGTTCTTAAGTCCTTTCCTAAATTCATTCTCTCCTTCCCTGTTGTCAAGACCTGTTTGTTTTCTTTAATTAAAATCAACATAGAGAATAAGTAAAGACTAGGAAAAGAAAGGAAACAATTGTGTTAGAATAATATACTGTACCTTCCACGATAAAGGCATTGAGACACAAAAGACAGACAAACAAAAAGCCGCATAGCGCCAGGAGCTTCATCCTTCCAACCACTCAGGAGATGTCTTCAAGTAGGCTGAAGCAGCATTCTGGTCTGCCAGCACAACCTTACCTTTTTATAAGGTAGATCAAAAGGAATGCTGTGTTCAGAATGGGCGGAGATTTGGCCTTTGTATTGCACTTCACAGGATGGAAAGAAACAGCTCTTCCTATTACAAGAAGCAGTTTACTCAAAATCAGGCAGCAGTTAGCTGCATTAGGGAGTCTCTTGCCAGACAAAAACAAGTATCTGGCTTTGAGCATTAGAGTATACAGGGATGCTCTGATGCAGAGCGTTTGTCCTGTGGTTCACAGCAGCTTCTTTAGGTGACCTTGTGTGCTCCTTTGGGTGCTTGGAAAGGCAGAGAGCACAGCTACAATGAAACTGCCTGGACAGTGAACTGGAACTCAAAAGGCAAATCAAATCCAGAGCGTTTAAATCAAAGCAACTGCTAATGCATTGTTAAGATAATTAACAGGACAGCTGGTTAAGCAGCATATTTCTGAGTTTATTATTAACTTCTCAGTATCTATTATATCTGGATAATTGTCTGTTAGATTCCAGTTAACAGTCAAGATTAAGAAATCCATCAAATTCATCACAGTATCAAGGTTCAGAGAGCATGCATTAAAAAAAAAAAAAAAAAAGTCCTCCAAGCAGGGATCAGCTGCAGACCTGAGTCTCTTAAGGCAAAAGTTTAGGTTTGGCAGAATCTAATTCTCAAATCTTATTCTGATAGGATTTGGGTCTCAAATATCAGAATATGCTGTGAGCTGTGTAGCCTTAAGAGCTGGGAATGGTACTTGGAAGCGGCTCAGTCTTGGAATTGCAGCAGGACAGAAAGCTTCACTCTGGTGCACATATGTTGTCCTCTCTGTCCCTCATGCCCCCAAATTTCAAAGGTTTCATAGTTCAGGTTTTGCATTTGGATTGTTTCTTGCACTGGATCAGCAGCCTTCCAAATCAGGTCACCTCTTTTTCTACAAATTTTACCTCAAAAAGCTTATTTCTACATTCCTATCTAGCAATATACACATACTGTGAATAGTGCTAACGCCTGACAGCCTCTTCTTGCCAAGGCTGACATGAGCAAGGCTCTAGGATCAAATCACTAGTAACACTTGCTACAGATAGTATTATCCTCAAGGTGTTTTATGAACAGCCCTGCCTCACGACTGGCACACTTCAATCATTCTGACTGTAGTAAGGCTTTTAATTTGCATCACTGCTAAGCTTCTCAGAAAGTACTTTTACAGTTCAGTCAATGATGCAGAGAAAAACGAATGGGACAACAGAGCGCCAATGTTGTTTTTATGACCTCGGGCTTCATCTGAATAGTTGAAACATATGGACGTGAGGCCTCATCTTGTACTTTTAAAAACAACATTTTTGCTGGTTAATAAAGAATCAATCCTTTATTTTGTAGAGGGGTATAGTCATTACTATTACCAAAGTAGATTTTGTCAGTTAAGTGTTTTATAAAAAGAACTAGTTACATAATATATATAAACTAGAACTACTCATGTAAACTAGCATTATAGGAAGGACTTTTTAACATGAAAACATCTCTGCAGTCCATTTTATTAACTATATCAAATTTACAGCTTCAGTGTACCAACAGAAATATTACATTGCTTCGGTTGAACTTTAAATGGAAAGTGTGGTTCTCAGAGCTTTGAGCACAGAATGAAATCTAAACTGGCAACAGCAGAATCTCTTCAGCCTGGCTTTCCTGAAATAATATTTTCCATTCCATTAGCAACTTTCCATTTTAGCAGACCACAGTTGATTTGTTACCAAAGAATTTCAAATTTGCATTTGTGTCAGTTACACAGCACAGCCCAGCCCATCCCACTCCAATTCAGGAAAACCTTTGACTGTATTTCTGTCCAGTCTTGCTCAGAAAAGCCCTCACTTGATTTTATCAACATGGTAAGTGACTTTCCTGTAGAGGATCTACACCAAGATCTCAGGATGGAAATTCTCTGTTTTCTTGGCTAAGTGATACTCTTGTAAAGATGTGGCAGTTAGCCCTTAATTCCTGTACTACCTGAAAGCAAAGCTGATGATGAGAAGGGGCATGGGAAATAAAATGAGATTTTAGATAGGACATATGACTTCACAAATTTTTCATTCTTCAGCATATTAAGTCAAATTATATTAATTAAATAGAAGAAAAGCAGGCTAGATTGTAATTCACTGTCAGCAAAGCTATTCCAAAAATATAAGAAGGAAAGATACAGGTAGGGAAGTTGTGCTGAAAGTCTAGCACAGGATGGAATTCTCATGACTGGATACTAAAACCAACAGAAACCAGACCATTTTCTGCTGGTTTTATTATATCTTTTCTTACAAAATATCCAGTGAGAGATTTTGAGCAGTGACAGTCTCACTGCATATACCAAATATCTGCACAGATAGCATAGAACAAGTAGATACAATCTTTTTCAAGGAAACAAACAAACAACAATCTAAACTGATCATGTAAAACAAAGCTGGGAAATTTAATGGGCTAGTCAGCCTACTTGCTAAGGTATGCAGAAGATCTGAAATGTCAATAAGGCACATGAAAGGATAGGTAGGAGAGTAATTATTTTGCAACATTCAATCAGGCTGAGTAGTGGTAGCACTGAAGCAAGTACGTATCTCACTTAGTGACTACAGTATTTTATCTCCATTACAGTTTCTGATAAAGTTCCAGGTAAGCTCATGTACACATGGTGACATTGCACAATACAGATCAATAATTATCATCACAAAGGATGACTAGATATAAGCAGTTAAGATTCTCAGTATAGCTCTGATAATTAAGAAAGTAAAAAGTGATATGTGCCTAATTCCACAGAACTCAACCCACTAAACCTTTAAATCTTGAATCAAATATCACTTCAGTCCTTAAGTCTTTCATTATTGTACGCATTTAAGCCTGGAAAAACCTAGGAAATTTGGATATCCTAAATTCTGGTCTTGTTAAAGTCAGGCTTTTTCTACCAAGATGACCCCAAGCCAAATTCTCCACTTTATATATAGAATTTTTTTTTTAGAATTCCAAGTCCTACTGAAATGTCTGGGAAAGACAGGGCAACAAGGGATGCATGTGTGGAGTCTTAAACAAGAAAGGAAAGAACATGTTATTTTCCCCATAATCACTATGTATACTTCTAGTTGAATTAATTCAGCTTTTTTACAGACAAAAGTTGTACACTTAAAACATGATTGATTTTCCAAAAGTTGTATTTGCTTTGATTTTTCTGGAAGAAAAAGAAAGGAAAGGTGTTGCTTTACTGACAAGTCAATTTTGTGACTTAGAATAACTATATATAAGTAGCAACCATGTGCACAGAATGTTTTAACGGTAACCCAGAAAAAAAAAGCTCTCATGCCAAAAAAATAGTTACTTATTCTGACCAATTTAAAGCTTTTTACTCACCAAAACAATTTTAATTTCACTGATTTTAAGGTGGTTATTTCTGAAACATACACGCAAGGTCTTCTCATGCTTCTGAGTTAACAAAAAACTACCATCATCTTCCCTCCCTCCTAAGAACGACTCTGTTGGTATTAGGATATCTTTGCTGATAACAGAAAAACAAGAAAGGAAAACCAAATCACTGAGTGCATCTCATCTCTGTCTCCTAAAACGGCATCTGTCTCACCCAACTGGCTTTCTTCCTTAAACAAAGGTGAACTAGAAATTAAAAAAAAGTCTCATAGAAGGTACATATTAACCCAAACCTAAGACTATATACCCAAATAATATTTCATGCCTTTTGGCATTGAATAGAACCATTGCCTTCTCTTTCATGTGTACATGATAAGAAATAAAAAAATGAATACAGAAGAGGAAGGTAACCAGATAAGTTGGGAAATGAATTGCATAAGAAAACCTCATCACATGATGGCTACTGTAATTTCTAGCTATGTTAATTTCATTAAACTGGAAAAACATTGGAATGTTAAATGCACTACAGCTGCTGCCAAAACCCATCTCAAAAGAAACCCATTTTTCTTCTGAAATATTCACAACAGAATATTGGCAACAGGAGTGTTTGCAAAGACTTGTTTTTCTAGATGTAGATAACAGCATTGTAACTTTACCATCCACCCCGCACAAGAAAGCAGCATGTGCTACTTAGATGTCCTATTTGTTTTCTGCTTGAAAGAGGCAGGCTGCTACTTGGTCTCCTCTGTTACAACAATCCCAGCCTTCCAGCTGCTGTGATGGGAAATGAGGCAAACCTGTACACTTACCACTGCATGCCCAAATACCCCGCAGAGGGAAATGGAGCAGGTGGTGGGAAGCTCTGCTGTCTGCCCAGGGGAACAGTTTTAAATGGTTTATGCTTCTGCCTTTCAGCCTGTTCTTGTATTTCTCATTCAGAGTTTGGAGAAGGCAAACCAACCACTCGCTTAAAAGCTATTGTGCCAAAAGTAGCACAAAGGACTTTGTCAGATGAGCCTGAAGTTTTGCCCACAAACCTCCAAGTCTGATTGCTACCAAGGGAGGCTGCCACTGTCCCCACAGTGTTGGTTGAGCAAATAGGAAGATGTTACCTGAAAAGTGGTTTTGACCCTCAGACCAGAGAGCATCAGTGTTCTCTACTCCAGAGCGTGGCAACAGTTAGTTTCCATATTTTCTCTTCTCCGATGTTTACAGCATCTGCAGCCCTGATACTCTCATCCATTCTGCTGAAGACACATCACCTTCTGTAAGAGAAACTGCCCTTAGTTTTAATGTTCTTTGATTCTTAATCTTTATTTCACACAATCTGCCTATAACCTTTGCCATTTCTATCTGCCTGTGTCCCCTACTCAGCTCGTCTGTGACGGTAATTACACTCATTTAGGTTAGCTTTTTAAATATCTCCTCACCTGGTGCTTGTAGCCTCCTCCAGTTTCTGCCCCTTCAGACTGTTATCTTTTTATATGGCTTTCTTCCCTTCTGCCACTCCCATGTCTTTTTCTATCTAAGCCAGTTCTGCCCCAGTCTCCTTTTTCCTTTATTGTGACCTGGGAATAGGTGAACAATATTTTTGGTTGCAACTGTTCAACTGATTTTTTTTTTTTTTTTTCCCCTACTTAAGCTTTTTTTTTCTAAGGCATGAGTCTGATTTTTGGCAGAAATATTTTGACTTTTCAATAAAATACAAATACATGAAAACCTAAGTGTTTTTTTTTTTTTTAAACCAGCCTCAAATCATATACATGCTTAGACTCTACCATCATTCCTCATGGGAGAGAAAGTTCAAGCATAAAATTTCTCACTTATCATGTGGGTTAAATTGTCCATTCGGGATAATATTGCATAATACATTGTGGCTAGAAACATGCCGATGTGCACACCAAGCTAAAATGAGTTAGCTTTTAAATCTTGTAAGAAGTCAGAGCTCTCCATCGAGAGACAGAAAGGTTTGTCTCACCATCTCCAGCCTCCTCCCTGAGCCAAAGCTGCTCTCGCCCACTGCCAGGCAGCCCACACCACCCAGGCCGCAGGGGCAGCCCTGGTTTGGTTTCACAGCACACCCTTGCTACCTGGCCTATTCATCACAACAATCACCTTGCTGTAGCCACGCCATCTC